TTGATAATAAATTAAATTATTTAATTTATTTAATCTTAGTTTATTTATAATTATGATTTATATTTGGACCAACATATTAAAAATCTAATAAGTCACACATATTAACAACAATTGGTACAAAATTAAACTAGGATAATCAATTAAATATAATTTGATTGCGAATAACTTTTAAAGATTGAAAACTAAAATATAATTAATACAGGGTATTACAATTCTAGACTTAGAAAAATCTTGTAAAAACTTGATTGAATAAATTTATAAAACTATTCTAAAATAATATATATGATATTATTCAGGGAGAAAAGTTATATTTTATCTTTTATATGGTTATTAGGTTTTTCCTATAAATAGAATGTCATCTCTTATATTTTTTTTGTAAGTTATGATACTCAACACATATTGTATACATTCCATTTATACAAATAGACAAAGTAGAGAAAATAAAGAGTTAATACTCAAAGACATAACAATATCTTTCTTCTAAAAAGGATTTTGAAAAAATTTTCACTAATAGTTTGTGCCAATTATTGTTATAGTTTTGACAGTTGGACTTGTGATTTGTAAAAACTTAACCTTGAAAAGTTAATCAAACCTTAGAAAGAAGATCTGATATTTAAGTAATCTTAGTTAAAATCCTAAATGACCTTAGATTGTTTAAAATGGAATCATTGGGACTTTAGAAAATTTCAAATTACCATTTTCGATATATCATGTATTTCAAAAAATCTAACAGTGATATCAAAGCTATCATTTAACAATTAAGGTTATTAATTGCATATTTTTATTGTTATTGGCATTATAAATTAAATTTATGTGAAAAAATATTTTCCTTATAACTAGTTTTCTCTTAAGGATTCTTTTCAAGAAAAAAAAGCTCTAGTTACTAATTTGGTCAAATTTAACCAAAATAAAATAAATGGTTGTAACCACCGGTAGTTGACACGACGAAAAGATTATTGTCTTCTTCCAAGTGCAGGAGTGTCGAAGTAATAAATAACCCGGCAAGACCGGGGTCGAACCACAGGGAGGTTAATTGTAAAAATTATAAAAAACAAGTCATCTTATTCAATTAATGCTAATACTTGTAAATCTCGTCAAGCATTCATGATTATAACTTATGTTAACAATAAATCAAGTTCCTTTCATAGCTCAGGTGTCGGTTATACCATACATTATGGGCTATGAAAGTGCCAAGCATTTGTTGTACCAAGTGTTATACAACATAAATCAAGATTAGTCATTTAACAAGCAAAGTATTAAAGAGTGAACAAGATAACAAATATAAAACATGTTAGTATCAAACATTAAAGTCCATATTAAGTTTACATTATACTTATTCTTACACCATTAGTGTAACCTTTTCACCTTGACATAATTAACTTAGCTAGACATAATGAAAGAAAGCAAAATAGATAAACAAAATAAGAACATAAAAGTTAACTAAGTAAAGGAAAGGAAATGAAAGGCATAAACTTAATATTAATGAAAACAAAGCATAAAAAATACAAAGAGAGAAAGGAAGAGCATGATCTTGATCTGGAAATCAAGATGCCTAAATGCATGGCAAATGCCTCCTTTTATAGGCCAAAAATGGGAACTATTGATTTGATGACTAATTGATAAGTGGGTGACCAACTTTTGACTTGGTGACAATCCTTATCTTCTCTTGTCTGCCCAAAACGTCATTGATAACGTCAAAATTGGAGCCAGTTGTAAACATGAAAGTTGTAGGCAATTGTCTCAGCTTTCTTGTGTAAAAACTTCAGCTCATTTGGACTTCTAGAACTCCAGATATGGCCAAAATACCGAACAGTGCTCGGGCTGGAAGACAGATTCGGGCTTCTTTGTTGTTGCTACAATTTGGACTTGATAATGGCCTTTTTAGATCTTGGGCTCCATATGAAAGTTGTAGGCCTATGTCTTACCTTTCCATCCATATAAATTTGACCTAAATCTGAGATATATAGCTCTAGATATGACCCAATTACCGAATAGTGTTCCGGTTTGGATTGCACCGACATCTCTTTTCTAAGTTTGGTCATCTCTTTATCCTTGCAATTTAAGTTCTTCAAGTCATCAATCAATCCTTTCATTTATGTGATAGGCCTGCATTAAAAATAGACATTTACCACAATTTATAGGTATCTTATATTATTAGATACATTCTTATAAAATATATTTTAGTTAAGGAGTTATTGATACTTCAAGTGCAAAATGATGATATAAAACCATGATAAAAATGCATTTTTAAGTACTAATCAGTAGTGGTGTTAGTGCTGCTAGTATACCTGACCTAGTAATGCGATTCTACACCTAAAACTTACACATTATTACAATTTAAGTATTTAAGATATAATTACTATTATACCTTTATATAGATAAATTATGATTTTATATATTAAAATTGAAACCCTAAATAAAGTTAATTATATAATTAATTTTCTAATTGGATTATGAGTGAATTAAGATGTTTAATTCAATTTGTGTTGAAATATCCTAATTGTATTAGGATTTAATTAAAATGTTTAATTAAGTTATTTAAAAAAATGGTTTTTTTCCTAAAATAAAAAGAGTTTTAAATCCAATTTTTTTATTTAATTGATAATAAAGTAGTTTAGGATGTTAAAAGTAATTTTAATATGAATAATTTTCTTATTAAATCTTTAAAAAAATATTTTTTTTTAAGAAATGTCTATTTAATTGATCCTAGAATCATTTAGGATATTAATAAGAATTTTAATACAATTATTTTTCTTTTTAAAACTTGAAAAGTGGTTTTTTTTAAGAAATTTTTTTTTGATTAATTTTCAAATAGTTTAGGATGTTAATAAGAATTTTAATATGTAATTTGTTTATTAAATCTTTAATAGTTTAGGATGTCAAAACTATATTCTTGATTAAGAATCTTTATGAAGATATGTATATGTCACCGGTTAAAGGTTTTGAATATAAAAAAATTATAAAAAATATAAAAGCTATAAAAATTCATTAATAAACTATTTATTTTGATGAGATAATTAAATAGTTTGATTTCATCAAAAACATGGATAAACCTTATATTTATAAAAAAAAGTTAGTGGGAATAAAGTTTTTTATTTAATATTATATATAGACAACATATTATTAATGAAAAATGTTATTCCTTTATTTTAGTTGGTAAAGTTCTAGTTATCCAATAATTTTTTTCATAAAAAAATATAAGAAAAATAACATATATATTAAGAATAAAGATCTATAAATATAAATATAGAAGGTTGGTTGAACTCTCTCAATCTATATAAAGTGGTCTAACATTAAAGAAATCAAGAGAAGATATTTACAAATTTTGCATAGAATATGTAACATCCCCCATATTTACATGCAATCTTTATATGATTTCTTCATGTTATTTTCATGTATTTAAATTTTTTATGTTTAAACAGTCAATCAGATTAAGCTGGAACTAACATTATCATTTTGTTTATAATTTTTTAGTTTTGAATATTACATATATTCCTTATAAAATAGATGACAATTCTACTAAATTTTTAATAAAATCTTTCCTATACTAGAAAATTTCATGCTATCAACTGATATTTATTTCATGTCAATTCTCATTAATATACATCTCAAAGGTTGTCTAATTATCCTTGACTCATCCTATCATCGTATTAGAATACCTTATAACTTTAACTTCTAATGTTTCATTTATCATAGTCTATCATGGTGATGATATATATACACACAATCAATTTACATGAAATGGCACTATATAACCACATGCATTTATAATTTTAATACAACAAAATAATTGATATAATATTAGAAATCTACATGATATCTAAGTCCAGTAATATGTCCTACAATAAGATCAATAAGATGAATATTCATTACATTCTCAAATTACAATACAAAAGAATTATTAATTAAATGTTTATTAATCTTAGCAAAAGTATTCAAACAAAAACCTTTATTATTCCACTTGTTGATGAGAGACACCTGGAATTCATTATCACATGATAAAATCAAGTTTTTATATAAATTAATCAAATAAGAATACAACTTAATTATGCAATTTCATATATTTTATCTATTTCAATTAGTTCCCTTTTTATAAATCATTTGAATTTCTTTTAATTGAATTTAAACCTCGATTAGTTTGACCCATTACTAATAAATTTTTTTCTCATCACTAATAAATTTTTTTCTAGATATAATCTTATCTTTTATAACATTTACTCGCATTACCCTTATACAGAAATATCTCGTTACTGAAAGACTAATCTCTTTGTTCATATCTAAACAATAAATATTTTATTAGACATTTAATTTCTTAACCTCATTATTAGGAAACTAGTTTCTTTGTCTGTTATCGAGCGTTAGTTCCATTACTAAAAAATCTAGTTTCTCACATCTTTAATACATAATTAAAATCACAATACTTTCTATAATTGCAATATGTAGCATAATAAATATGATAAACAAAAGTTTTAAGATATTTGATATTTATCTATTGTTGAAGTTATGGTAATATCTGTATAATTCTCGTGACCTCTCCTAATTTTACAAGTATATCATATTATTTTTCATTTTATATACATTCACATAATAATATATCAAGTTGTTTTCTTTCTACTTAACTATCATTTATGATTAAACTTACATTGAACTTTTATATTTTTACGAGAAGATCTAAAGAATTTATTCATTCTTTAATACAATTATAATTAATTTATATAAATTTTAAATCATTTTATAATTATAAATCTTAATTTTCATACAAATAAAAGACTATACATTAGTGGAAGAACCCATCAATTCATCAACATAATTTATGAATTATTTTTCAGCGAAATTAACCTTTTATTCACTATATTTCTTTTACCACACTAGCAACTAACTGTTAATAAAAATATTTTAAAAATAATATAAATTATATTCTTAAATTTCATCAAACCAAACCGTTTAAATTATTAAATTAAAATAATTTTTAACAAAAAAACAAAATTTGTTAAAATTAATTGTCGATGGTGGATGCTTGCCCCAAAATCAAATCATAAACTGGAGAATTGAAGATTTACAGTTCTATACAATGATGCATATCACTTTAATGTGCTTCCCCAATTGCCCATCCCCTGCCATGTTGGATATTTGTGAAGGAAACCCAAAACCATACGGGTAAAAATAAAATAAATGACAGAGCAAAAACAAAATATGTTTGTCAGCCGTTCACTTTCCTAAGCTATCATCTGTACACGGACTACCAGTGAAAGAAACCCTACCAAAACCCAAGTGACCAATCTGGTTCAACTCGAACCAAAGCCTCTCTGCCTCATATCTCGCAGGAACACCAGCCATTTCCTCTTCCTCACCAAATCCCGTTGCAATTTCCAATACTCCCTCTTCTTCTATCATCCTCTTTCTCAAATTACAATCCCTTTCTATTTTCACCACAATGTTACCTTCCCCTTCACTGTTCTTCCTGCATTTTCTATTCATTTTCTTCCTTTTTACTCTTCCCAAGCACCTCCTGCCTATCATCCATGGAACCTTAACAAAAGCAAGAGTAAGAAGATTGACCAAAGCACAAGGGCAGCAACAGAGGGCCACACAGTCAGCTATCAACGCAGCGGTGCATGATTGGCAATGCTTGCTTGAACACTCAATTAGATCTCCACCTTCATCAACGGCGTGCCTGCTCTTCCTGGTGGGTCCACCCCTGGAGACCTCGTGGGTCCTTTCTTGACTTGAAACTCGAGGTGGGTTCTCCTCCATTTGATGTTATTTGATCAATTTATAAGTATCTGCAAAGAATTTGCATCATTCAACGAAACTTGTGATTTCTCTACTCTTTCCATCTCTCACTCCAGCAAATATATACATGCACTGTCGTTGTTAGCTACTAAATCTGGTCGATAATAATTCTATAAGGGGACGTTTTAAAGCCTGGCTATATAGGAAATCTGTATTGACAGTAGTATTATTTTCTGTAATTGCATTATTACCTACTACCATCGAAATTTTTTTATAATATAATTGTTAATTTTTTTTAAGGATTAGTGCCTTTTATTCAAGAAATTCTCTTAATGTAATCCTTTTGTTATGGATTTTTTTAATTTGTCCGTTGAATAAAAAAATGTAAAAAATAAAGAATTTTGTGCTTGAAATAAAAAGAATAAAATTGAAAAAATTAGAAAAAATCAATACAAATTCAAGATGAATTTTGTTGGACTTCTCATGTTTTGGTAAAATTTTAAAAAAATTGATCAATGCAATTTTCAATTAAAAAATTAGTTAACTTTTCAATCAAAAGATTAATTAAGCTTTAAAGAGTGGAAAATTGAAAGAAAAGAATAAAAAACACTTTACATACTTTCTATGAATGATACAATAGCTGAAATGGCACACCATTTAATTATATCCTAGATTATTGGCCAGCATTGTTCTGTGCTTAGGGTTGGATTTAAATCATTTATAAATATGATAATTTAAATATGAATGGTATTTTTTAAATTTGTTTTGGTAAGTGACGTGATGGATTTATTTAAAAAATATTAAAATAATAATATATTAAATTAATTCATATTAACTTGTTAAATTTGTAATTTAAATTCTGCTATTATAATAAATAAATTAAAATAAATTATGAAGATGAATATTTAATAATAAAAAATATTTTAATTAATTTATTAAATATGATATGAATTATAAAAATAAATAAAAAAATATGTTAGAAAATATTATATATACTTATGTTCTCGCAAGATTTGTCGAAGAAGCAAAAATTCAATTGAGGTGGAGCCGGATCGAATAAACAGGCCGCAGACCATGGTTGGATGTAACTAGAAAATGATTATCAAAGTCTAGAGTGGTTGATTAGCTGTGTCCAAGGTTTTTTGGATACTCTTTCCCCCGTCAGACAGACAGTTCCTTTTGTCTATATATTTACTCCTGCTCTCTGCTTCTTTTTCCTTTTCTTTTTTTCCATGAATTCTCAGGTTTTGTTCCCTGTAATCCTTTTAAAAAATAAATAAATAAAAATAGCACGTAGTGTGATAATTATCAAAATGTGGCGTCGTATTGATTGTTGAAGGAAGACAAAGTTAATCTTCAGAAATGGGTGATCATTAACTTATTACAACTAATTAAATTAAATAAAATTCCCTTGATACTAACAATAAAAATTTGTTAGCTTTTAAAATTTGAAGCACTTCATTTTTATATATATTTTTTAAATTAAAAACACTCAAATAAAAAGATAAAATACACACAATACAATAGATATCAGAAATACTTGATTAATTTTTTTATAAAAAATATACACTGAAATAATAAAAATAAAATGATTGGCTCATCAAATATACAATATTCTCAAAAATAAAAACAAATCCTGAAATATAAAGAAAAAATAAACGCTACTGTTTAACTCTAATTTTTGACGATTTACTAAGCTCCATTATATATCTAGTTACGATTTTATTATATCGCATTAATAAGGTAATGGCAATATATTAGTGCCCTCGGCATTTTCTGTTGTTTTTTCGATATCACCTAATCTGAGCTCAAAGTCTACTTTAGTAGTGAGTAGTGGTGATAATTGTTTTTTAAAATATTTTTAATTTTAAAATATATTAAAACAATATTTTATTTTATTTTTTTAAATTTATTTTTAATATTTTGTATAAGAAGAATTTTAAAAATTTAAATAAAAATTAATATTTTTTTAAATGTGTGGCCCAGCCCGTGTAGCTAAATTTATTTATAAGTACAAATCGGCATTCCAAATTTAAATACTAAACTTTCCTAAATAACAAACGCCCAAACATATGTAAAAATACAATGTCAAATCACCTCTTACCCCAAATCTTAATGAATTTGATTAATTTGGTCCTACTGCCTAAAGAATTTTTTATTTTATTAATTAGGTCTTTACATCCAATCACAGACATCGAATGCCTATGTAGTCTAACAAGTAGAAGAGCGTAATAAAGAAAATCAATTATTGAGGGGTGACATAAAGAAAATTTCAAATGTGAAGGGGTGTTTGAGCTAACCTCCTATGGCCAATAAATTAAACGAGATGATAAAGCTGTCACTTCAATTAATTATCAGATAAATCTCTGCTAAGTAAAGAGATTAGGTCTCAAAAATTTGATCGATTCAATCTGAATTGGACTTTAAATTAAGAAAGATATGACTAACAGACACGGAAGGTCTTAATTTCTCGTGTTCATGTTAAGTAGTACTGATAGTGGTGTCTGTGATGTGCTCGCTCTCGCGTGTATAGGTGATGGTCTGACAGACTCATAGACACTAAGAGATTAAGATCGCTGTTCCAGGGGCAGTACAATATGCTCATCAAGAATGAACTTATTAGCAATGCAAGCAAGCAAGCATTTGGCAGATTTGAATGAGAGATGGACTTTTTTCCATATAATTTTCTGACAGATGTGAAATTGAGAGTAATAAACATTTAGGACATGAATATGGATCCTATATGTGTGTGTGTGTGATTTCTACAATGTTTAAAGATACTCACCTCAGCGCAATGTTTAAAGATTCTTTGATCCAAATGCCGAGGTTGATGTTCAGTGCAAATCTTCAACTGCGTTTCTTAATTTGTTAGCCCCACAGCGCTATGCAATGAGATAATATTTCACCAACAACTAGAGTTTATCAGTGAATGCATGAAGAGAGCTAGCTAGGCTCTATGAATACGAAAAGAAGAAATAAAAACTAATTGATCTGATCTCAGATCTTTATATCATGTAGAGCTTCTGCCAAAAGGAGTACTATATAGACACACACACACACACTCGCACGTTCTTCTTTATTGACCATCTAGCTAGTGACCGCATATCCTAGTAAAGGAATCTCTTTACTCTGCCAAGAAAACATAAAAAAGTCTTGGCGAGACAGAGATGAAATGGGCATGCATGGTTTTTCATGAGTCCCAATGACAGCGAATATAGGAAATTGTTGATGGCTGCTTCACTCAGCTAGCAGTTAGCATCGGTCATGCACGTGAGAGGCGGTGAACACGTGCACCCACATTTTATTACGCAAATGGCAGTTAATTTACCACGGACAGAGTCACCATCGATTTCCACCACCATCTGCCAGTGCAGATGATATTGAAGATCTACGTACAAGTAGCATATGTTTTGATTATTTTTTACTCTGATAATTGAAAATTGATTGGTGGTGCTGCGTGGAGCAGGACCCAACAAGGATGAAAAAGTGATTTGATCCAGGGATGATCTGGATGGCAAACAGGTTAAGAGGAACAAGAATATCATCTGTTGAAGAGTGCGTGCTCTAGGTTTCCTTATGTATTATGTTATCTGTATGGTATCCAGTTATGTTATGCGATGCGGCAATGGAGGTTAGGGTTCTATACTCTCTTGTATTATATGAACTCCCTCACGACATAAAACAGAGGCAGCCAGCCAAGATTATACATACAGATTTTCATGGTATCGCTTGATATTTTCCTCAATTTCATAAATCTCCTCCTAGTTTCTTTGCAAATTCTCTGCTGTCTTCTTTTTACTTCTTTTCTCTACGTTTTCTCTTCAGTATGGCCCCCTCTACATTTGTCTCATCTCCGACCACCAACCCTTATACTGTGCACTTCTCTGAAAAATTGGATTTCAATATTACCTGGTCGTATTTATTTTACGCTGCTCTGTTTATTTATTTATTTTGAATTGCTTCATCATTACACCGTCACCAGCATCTGAAATAAGACCGTTGATAATCCTGATTTCACAAATTGGCATTCCTGGACGTCTAATTTTGAGTTGGATTAATGCTACAGTCACTGGACAAAATAATGCCCTTTTCTTCATCTCACAAAAACTGCATCTAAAACTGTATCTTCGTGAACACTTTTAGAGAACTTGACCTGAAATTTCAGCTTCAAGATGGCAAGAAAAAGAATTTGTCTGCCGATGCATTTTCTCAGGAATTTCAACAAAATATAGTCGCCTTTCTTGTTATTGTCCATCCTGATCTGAACATGAACAGTCTCACATCTTCTTAGTTGTCTTACCTCAACCTTTAATTCCTTAGTTATTTTAACTTGCATAAAAAAAATAAAAATAAACATCCACGTGTTCTTAAATTGATTATAAACAAGAAGATTAGAAGTCATGATCATTTAGAAAAGCTAGGAGACAAGATCGACAAGGAAAAGATAGTCAACAACATAGAGATCTGGGTTCATATAATTAACTAGAACATCAAGTCCAACTATGAATAAAGATTAAGTAAATATATGACGTCAGCAAGGAGGCACGCTCATATGAATACAAATTGTATTACAATTCATATTATAAGCTCTTGAAAAAAGGGAAATGTCAAAGCATCTGTAAAAAAAATGACTGATCTTCATCAATAGACCTGTTAAAAACCCAAACCATGAAGTATTTTTTTTTACTGGTGCAACAGACAGATATATGTTATGAATAATTTTTATAGATTTAGGAATTATAGTTCACGTAATATTCGAACTATATAACAATATAAACATCTTATCTAGTTAGTGGAAAAGTTAGTCAGCTTCATATATACCATCTAGTTAGTAGTGGAAAAGTTAGTCAGCTTCATATATATAATTTCTTTCATAATTTTATTTAATCTATCTTTTCTTTTAATATTGCTTTTACTTACTTTCTTGTTTTGTTTATTTTTTTATCTTTTAATTTCTTCTCTTATTCACATTTTGTTTGGCATTAAGTTATACCTATTCACATTTCTTAAGGTTTAAAATCTTAAAACACCTACAATTCATTTGGTTTTGCAAGGCTATAATTTATCTTTGCTCGAAATTAAGTTTCTCTATAGTTGGAAGGAAGAAAAGAAAAACAAATAACATGTTTGATAAGGAGATTAATACTTAATCAACTAATTTGTCAATGATTGATTGCATGATTATTTGTCGGATAATTATATTGTCAAACCAATAAAATGATATGTTTAGTAAGATAAGATTTAACATCTGTCTCATTAATCATCAATCATGCCACCAAAAAAAAATATAGGTGTTGCATGATATATTTTAAAAATCTAAAAAGATATGAGTAAGCAGATAAATGAATCACCACTTAGATTTTAAAGAATTAGAACGTCTAAGACTTGTTTGATAAAGTTTACATGGTAAGAGAGTAATTATGCGAAATAAAAGATAAAAATCACTCTATAATATCTTACTTTTAGGAAATTACTTTATCATTTTTGTTTGAAGGATAAAGTTATTAATCATGCTTTATATTATAGTTGTGCAAAGTGATATATGTATATTTATTAAAGTTAAAAGTAAACAAAAATGAAGTTTTCATTGAGAAAATGGTAGCGTTAAGATTCAATAATACAAATATAAAAATTATACATGTATAATACAAATATATAATGAAAACTCATCCAAAATGTCATCATCGACCATCCCCCTTAGACATCTATTTATTATACTATGTATATATGCAATTTTAGTAAAAACATTTAAAAACACATGTAAAAAAATAACAAGCAAACCCAAATAAAATAAAACAAATAAAATATGATAAGTAAAAGAAAATAAGTTTTGATAGGGTTTTATTTTGAAACTAAATAACATGTTACAAAATTCTATATTTATTGAATAATTTTCAAGTAATAAACCATATCAAATTTTAGAATGCAAATTTTTCAATAAAAATGTGTTTTTTTTTAATGACCACCAAGGTTAAAATGAATTTTCAATTCACAAACAAGTATGACAACACACTAAATATTGATTAAATTCACATGATAACAAAAAGTAAGGTAATCACAACCAAATAAGCACATACAAAATAAACATCACACCGAAACCAAACTATTAAGTCTCATATAAACAATTTACTTCTTGTCCTCCTAAACATATCATGGGTTATTCATCACTGATCTTATTTCTCTTTCAAGTATTTTCCTATTACATCATGTCCTTCAGGTGTCATACAATGGTGTGACCCAACACTTCAAATATTATAGATATATTAAAAATCATGCAAAATAAATCATAAATTGCATAGAAAATAGGAAAAAAAAGCCTTAGAAAGTAGTTGAAACTTGGTTGGAAATGTGGTTGTGGTGTTAGTCACCGCCATCCAATAAGTGAGATTGGACCTTTCAATTGGTTTGTACTCCTCTTTTCTTGACCAAAATAATTATTATGGTTGTTGTGTTGTTTTTATTATTAATGATGTTGTGTTGCTATTGTTTTTTTTATTAGTGATGTGAGGTTTATCCATTAAAGTGGATAGATCATAGGTTTATGCTGTGTTGGTTTGATGTAGACTGGTTCGGTGTTGTGCAGTTAAGAGAGGAAAGAGTTATGGTGATGGTGAATGATTTTAGGTTATTTGAGTAAGGAAGGATATGATTTTTTTAGGTTCGGTGGAGAGATAATAAAGGAATTGCAACGCTTATTACTAGTTGACATTGGTGGTTTTTCTAAGGAAAAAATTGATGATAATGATAATGGAGATGGTGAAAAAATAATTAAAAATAATGTTAGTGAGAGATTGAGAGAATAAAGGAAAGAAATGGTGGAAAAAGAATTAAAAATAATGTTAGTAAGGGTTTGAGAGAATAAAGGAAGGAGATGGTGTGCTGGAGGGGGGGAGAGTGATAAAAGAGATAGGGGTGGTGGTTTGCCTTACCCTAATTTGTTACTTTTTTCTCTAAATATTCTTCAAAACCTAAAAAGTCAAAACAAATTAAAAACGAAATGTGTTTTGGCCATTGCAAGCTAATTTTATGATTTTTATCTTGTTGGTGTCTTCTTAAAAAAATTAAAATTTAAAAATATGTTTTCGATGCTTCTCTACATTTCATAATTTTTAGTATCTTTTTGAAAAATCAAAATTTTAAAATATATTTTTGACTTATTTTGATCATTTTACAATTCTTTATTACTTTTATTATTGATTTGATGCTGGTGTTTTTTAAAACAAAAAATATAATAAAAAATTAAAAATCAAAAATCAAATTATGAAGCAAAATGAACATGAGACTAAAATGTAAAACGAGAGGAATGAATGACAAATACACACACATAAAAATAAGAATATTCTTATTATAAACTTAGAATAAGAAATGAAAAATAAGAATATTTGTACGTAGATAGCTATAAATAAGACTTAATATGAAGATAGAAATGGGGGGCCATCACATAAAAAAATTCTAACCTCATCTTCTTTATCAAAAAACCCTCACAACTATTATGGTGAAAAAAACAAGACAAAGTGAATGAAAAAAAAATATATAAAAATCCTCATTCTCTTAACTTGAAAACCTAGCCACCTTATAAAGAGATGGAAAAAAAGTAAAAGAAAACGAGGAAAGACAACTATAATATGAGAAAAAAACCACATAAAAACCTTAATATCTTTTATCCTACCAAAAAACCCATAAACAAAACCCAGGCCCTAGCCACATTTCATCTCACCTCACTAGATTTTAATCACCCATATCTTTTATTGACCATTACGAGCTCGTGCATGGCACCCTTAACAATATAAAAAACCATGAAAGCTATAATCAAAGAAAAATCAAGAGGAAAAACTGAAAAACAAAGCAACAATAAAGAAGAGAAAGGAACAAGATATAATTGACCATTTCAGGCATTGGATCTCCTTCCACCACTATTAAGAGAAATTATAAGGAGTGGTATAGCCTATAGGGCGTGCCATATACTTCCCTTTTCCCATCATTAAATCTAGCTTTGAATGTGTGTTATGATGAAATTTTTGGGTTTAAATAAACTTCAAAATTAATTGTGTTTGTTTGTGGATGCTTGAATTTCTTGTGATTTTGATGTGATGATATGATGTGATTTGTGTGTATTATGAATGTGTTTAACTAATTTTCAAGTTTTATTGATATTTGATATTTATGTATATAGATCAAATCTTTTAAAGTTGGCATCTTGCTTATGCTTGATGTTCTTGGTCATTTCTTTATGTTATTTATGCATGAGTTTGATTTTACATAAAATAATAATATTTACACTTATACATATATTTGCATCGGGTTTTTTTTTTGAACTTGTTTATAAAACACATTAAGAATTCAACCCATAGTAAAATTCCCTTATAGACTGACATTCAGATTTTTTTCAAAACATTTCCTTTCTTTTTTTATTATTTTTGTTAAATGTCAAAATTAGTGTTTTTATTTTTATTATTCATTTTTATTATTTTTGTTAAATGCCAAAATTAGTGTTTTTATTTTTATTATTCACACATAATATTTAGAGAAATACCCTAAAATTGAATTGTAAATGTTATTGTTAAATATAACAACTTATTTTAGAGCAAATGAATTCTTAGATATCATTGTCTAAATTTAATCCTAAAAGAATATTTATACCACTAGATCTCTTTCCTGAGTAAATGAACTTATAAAGGTCATTGTTTGAATGTTTGGGACTAGTATAAAAATTGCATTCAGTAAAATGTTAGTGAATCTTCACCA